GTCTGCATCTGGTAAAGAGTGAACTCTGAATCTAGTATTTTAGGCTGGCATGGATGAAAAGTCCTTAAGTGTCCAGTGTGTAGGATTTAGGGGCATCTGTTGGCAGAAGTGTTATATAATATTCATAAGTGTTTTCATTAGTTTTTAATAACCTGAGAATAAGAATTGATGTGGTGGGGTTTTTTACCTCAGAATGAGCTGTTTATGTCTACATAGAGAGCGGGTTCTCTTCCTGTGTTACTCTACAGTAGCACAGAGTGGATGAACCAAACACTGGCCCTAACTCGTGTTTTAGCCTATCTGCGCCAGGGACTGTAGCTCTCCTACAGCAGGTATGTCCAGACTTTTTTGAGTGGGGACCAGATTAGATAATGTGGAAATACCTGGGTTAGGGGTGTGCCATATCATTTCATTCACGACAGTACTAGTATAATTTTTAATATCATATGAAAAATTCATGATACTCGCGATATTTCAACTCGTTGACATTAGGGCTGTAGTCAACCAAAGAAAATCTTGGTCGACTAAAGTCGCACATAATCCTCAACTAATCGATTAGTCGTGGGGGAAAAAAAAAATCTGCATATTATTTTTACTTCTGCGGTGGTGTGTCTGTGTCACTCTGCAGTTACACCTCCAAAACACTAGTCGGCAGTGGAAGACTGTTAAGTGCTGTAAAGTTTAGTTCAAATCAAACTTTATTTATATAGTTGATTCAAAACACACATTAAATATGGCTTAATAGAGACAATTTCAAACACAGTTACGCAAACTGGCTTCACTATAAATCGCAGAACTGAATACAACATGCTAATGTTATTAGCACAAGTCTATGGCAGTTTACATTGTATAAATAAGCCTAGCGTCTAGCGATCTTTTCCTCTTCTCATATAAACCAGGGACAACAGCAGCATCTAACAAAGGCAACGGTACATAATTTGGCTCCATTACAACTCACAACATTCACCGACAAAACAACTGTCTTATACTAAACACATTTTCCAAGCAAATACAACATGCTAACGTTATTAGTGCCAGCCTATGGCATTTTACATGGTATACATTAGCCTAGCGACGAGTGGAGATTTTCTCTGTTCATATGAAGCCAGGATAAATCCCGAAGTATAAATCCCTAAAGGATAAATCACACACACGACTTAAAATGCTATTTTAGTTGAGGCTTTGCTGTCTTCACAATTTATTGTTTCTTATCTGAAATACAAGTAAATACAAGCTCCATTTCCACTGAGGGAAATGGTGTCAGTATACAGAAACAGACAGGAGGTCTGCGTCACCGTGACGCTGAGCGTGAGGGTGGGCAAGTTCAACTTTCTGTTAACAACGGGGCTGTTTTGAAAACACCCCCATTTTCACAGGTAACTTAGCCTGTCCCTCCCGCCGCAGGAAATAATGGATTAATCCTGGAAAGCTGTTGATGTAGCACTTTTCTCCTTGTGAAAGTAACACAGCAATTATTCGACCAATGAGAATTTGGTCGGGCGAGAGCATAGCGACCAAATAATCGACTCGTCGACCAGGAGACTACAGCCCTAGTTGACATATTGATGTCATACTGTTACCCACGGCAACAACAAGCATGTCTGAAAGCAAAATTATTGCGGACTCCGAGGTGGTTTCAGTAGTGTGGAATAAACGGTGGCGTCCTGAATGTTTTATGAACAGCCCCGGACTTCTCAGACTCTTTTTGTGACTTGGCCTACCGCTCAGAGGGAACACATTCAGCGGCTCCTCTGGCAGCAGCACAGCGTCTCTCCCTCTCTTCTCTCGCTGTGCGCACATGGGAGTCCGTGTCGTCAAGTGATTTTGTCATAAACCTTTGGTAATATAAACCTATGTGACGCTTGTAGCTCCACTAAAAACTCCATATATGTGAATGTGTGATACTTGTGGTGTCATAACAGCCTGTCACAGGTTACAGCGTGATGATTAGAGGAGAAATGGCAGAGCATAAATGTCCAGGTGGAAAAAAAACCCAACTCAATCATTTAGGATTTTACTAAAAGAAGGAAATCACCTGTTGATTTATATATATATGTAGATCCCAGGGGACATTTTTTGTATTTCGGAGCTGTTTAAATGTGTAATTTTTTGTGGTAGATTTTATTTTGTTTAACTATTAATATTGTATACAGAACCTGAGTCTCACTCTGAGTTACTGTTGTTGTTCACAAACTAAAGAAATGAGAGATCATTTATGTTTAGTTTTTACTGAGTATTTGAAGCAAACTGTAAAACTATATCAGTTATTTTGTTGCAATATTATTATTTTTTACTAATTTGTCATTTTGTCAACAATATTGTTATCTCAAAACTGCCCTGAAATATTGTGATATTATTTTAGGGCCACCCCTAACCTGGGGGCCAGCTGCTTTTCACACGATATGGTTATTTCAAAAAAAAAAAAAAGTCACATAAAAATGACACAAACGCAACTGTTTTGTCTTAAAGTGATAAAGTATTCAACTTTCAACTGCTCCTGAAAGCGGTGACTCTCACTTTCGAGTTAAGGCTTCTTTGCTATGGCCATGTCTGCCTCATAGCAGTTAATGTCTTTTCGTAAGTGTTTGCTCGTTTACCATTTGTTTATGACAACACATCAGTTCTGCCTGCGTAGTTCCAACTTGCTGCATGTCTACAAACTATGACAGTCCTGCCATTGTGAAGTGAATGGAAAAATGCAAAGTGATCTGGCTTGATTAACAAATACTGTGGGGCAGGCCATATCTTGGAATATAGGCTATTTTGAGAGACAAGCTGTGACCTGAGGAAAAACCCACCAGATAATGCGTCATTCGGTGGATTTTGGCCAGTGAATAGGCGGGAAGCTCTGAGAGCTGGTGGCTCGGGGGCAGCCTTAACACTGTTCATCTACACACACTCCCCACACCACGGTGACACAGACCTGGTTAAAAATCTGCAAAGTATCCCTTTAAGGGCTTCTCAAAGTCACAAGAAGTCCTTTGTCAGCAGCTGTTTCCAAGGTCAAGAGTGAACTCTGAATCCCATATTTCAGACCAACATGGTCAACAAGTCCCCTCCCAAAATACAAGAAATTTGAACATCTGCAATTCTATGACAAGTAAGAAAGCTCCATCTGCTGATGAAGATCATATGATATGATTGAAGGCTCTAGTACAGCTTAACAGCTACTAAATGGACCTTGTGGGGAGTTTATTTTGTCAAAACACGCAAGGCTGTATTAAAATATATTTTTTAATTACAAAACTCAAGTTACTCATTACTTTCAAAAATAGATAGGCTACATAGACGGCATCACAATGTTCGTTTACAATAACCTCTAGGTAGAAAACCCCTGCGTCACATCAACGCTGCCTCAATTTGTTAGTTTTTATCCACCTAGTAAAAGGCCCACCAGAACAAATTAGTTTAAGTGAATGCTATATTCAGAATATTGTCACCACTCTACCTTGCTGTCAGCCCTTTCTAATGGGGAACTGAAGCCGTTATCTCAAAGCCACCAGTCTCCATTGACAAAAACAAACAGTAATTTAACTTCACAGAACACAAGAGTTGATGGGCTACTGCTGCCTTTATTGGTTTGTGTGCAAGGTAAAGCAAAGAAAATACATACATAGATTTGGTTTATCAAAGACTAACAAAGAAACACAGTAGATAAAATAAGCACAGCAGAAACATCTGTTAGGTTGGACCACAGTGTTGTACTATACATTGTTGAATGTAACAGTTACATCTGAAATGACAATAGAAATAAATAAGTTTGCTGTTTTCACATAACTACGCAATTGAAATCAATTGCCATTTTTCCCCCCCGAAAGTGATAGTTGTTGTTGGCACATCATCCTGGTGTCTCGGGGTGTAACATTTATGTAGAAAGCATATGTTGTTTTAGATTCATTACTGTTTAATGATGAACAAACATGACTGAATCATTTTTGATGGGGAGCAATTGTGAAGTCTTCACTGTAACTGTGCATTCACACCAAAAGCGTCATGAGCGCCAGCGGTCGCTCAGGTCGCAGGCATCGCGCTGCCTGGCAGCAGCTCCAGCAGGCGCTTGCAGCGGCCAAAGGGGCGGGGCGGGCTGCTGCAGATGTGTCCATCAAGGCTGACATGGCTGTTCACTTTACAAGGATGAACAAATATATCATTTATGTCTTCACTTTGTATTATCCATGACTTTCATTGCACAAATAAAATAACACTAATAAACACAGTCAATATAGCCTTTATGAGTCATTTATAATTATGATTTTACTCTCCTGTTGGCACGTAGGACCACTGAAAAATGTAATTGGTGGTAAATAAGCGGGAGCTCATTAATCGCACTTTCGGAAGCCTCCTTTGTACTGCATCAGCATATTTGCTGAGGAAACAAAAGGCCCGGAGCCGTCGGGCAGTCTGGGTCCACAGAGTCCTGCAAACCCGGCAACTCCACGGTGAATTTCACCGGCTCGTACAGCTCCGGGAGAGCCCAGACCTCCGTACCCGAATCCCGGTCTGCAATTGGCTGCTGCTTCGGCAGCCACGCTGCTCATTTGCATAAAGTTCAGCTTCTCTCAACTTCTACTTGATGCTCTCGTCCCTGGCATCGCGCCGCTCGCTGCAGCCAACGCCCCTGACGCCCTTCGTAGCAAGCGTACATTGAAAATGAATGGCTGCCAGCCGCTTATTACGCTCATGACGCTTTTGGTGTGAATGCACAGTAACAGATATGAAAAGTAGTCCTCATGTTTTATTTTTACTTCCCTGAAGGTGTTGTGGTGAAAACTGTCCCCTGTGCAGGAAACAGAATATTGTAAAATGCAATCAGATAATGACGCACCAGAAAAGCTGCGTGTAATATCTGGGCAAATGTTCAATTCATTTGCACCAATCATTTCTTTTTAACTCCTCTCTTACACATCAAAGGGGAACATCGTACTCCTCTGACTGACACAGTTGTCATCATCACTGGCTCAGTGCACAACGTTCAGCTTCTCTGTCAGCAAGTTTGCAGCATGGAACAACTCAACTCCTCTATGGTCACTTCTAACATCTCCTCCTCTCCTGGACATCCATCTCCTGCCTCCTGGGACTCCAGAGGTCTGGTCCCTGCGGTGGTGCTGTCTGTCTACTTCCTGCTGGGAGTTCCTGGAAACATTGCTGTGATCATCCTCAGACCAAACTGGGAGAACATGTCCAGTCTGAGCCAGATTCTGATGCTGAATTTGGCCATATCAGACCTGCTCTGCCTGATCACCCTGCCTCTGTGGATTTACACTTTACTGTTCAGCTGGAACCTCGGCCTGGTGGCCTGTAAGCTCCTGGCTTATCTTGTGTTGTGCAGCATTTATAGTAGCATGCTGACTGTGACCGTTCTAAGTGTCCAGCGCACCTCCAGGTGGTGCGCCTACAGAGGTCCTTAGATCAGACAAGCCGGAGACGAAATTTAGAGGCAACCGCACAGCCCTAGTCAACAGAACGAGGCTGCACGCCAACATTTTCAGAACAAAATCAAACAGGCTGCAGTGAAAGTCTCTCTCCATGGGATATTTAAAAATAGCAGGTTTGTGCATTCTAAGGCAAGCTCAGGGGTTTAGTGTTGCTGTAGCCCGAAGCTACGTGACCGTTTTTTTTTCTTGGAGTGAGAATTAGAATATATGCAGTTCACATAACCCGGCCGAACTTAATATATAGTAACACTTGAAGATCCACTCATTACTAAAAGTGTATGTCATATAGAAACTAAAGGAATGGTCAGTGTTGTCATTTGGAATATTTAAGGTGTGCTGATGGATTCACGTCTTCATCTCATGCATTGTGTAACATTACAAGTGAGCGTTCCACCTTAAAAGTCGCCGGCAGTCGGCCCAGTGAATTAAGTTATTTTCTCTCTGACTCCAGCTGCTGCAAGAGGCAACAAAACATGCTGTAATTTTATAGTTACAGTTTACTAATAAAACTCTCCACAGTATGAACAGTGGTTACATGAGCCTCAAAACCAGCCACAACTCAGCCCTGAGCAGAGTGACCGTCCTCTACTGACCAATCAACAGACTGCAGTGTTCACAGCTCCACCTTTTAGTACCAGATCTGTGTGCTAGGTACCCCAACAGAGGGGGACCAAAAATGGGGATGGCACGGAACAGTTCCATTGGTACCATCCACAACTTTTCACAGTGGAAACGGAAAAAATGCATACTGATCTGAACTGAACTGAACTACTCGGTGGAAACAGGGCTCTATTCTTGTTACTTCTGTTGTGATGAAAACTGTTCCCTGTGCAGGAAACAAAATGTGGAAAAATGCGTCAGATTCTAAAGCCATGCAAACTATTCATGGAATATAGTTTGCATATGAAAAATACCTTTTGTTTTTTACTTCCTCCTCTTTGAATGCATTGTGAGAAATCACCTTGCTCCTCTGACTGACTGACACAGTTGCCATCCTCACTGGCTCAGTGCACAACGTTCAGCTTCTCTGTCAGCAAGTTTGCAGCATGGAACAACTCAACTCCTCTGCGGTCACTTCTAACATCTCCTCCTCTCCTGGACATCCACCTCCTGCCTCCTGGGACTCCAGCGGTCTGGTCCCTGCGGTGGTGCTGTCTGTCTGCTTCCTGCTGGGAGTTCCTGGAAACATTGCTGTGATCATCCTCAGACCAAACTGGGAGAACATGTCCAGTCTGAGCCAGATTCTGATGCTGAATTTGGCCATATCAGACCTGCTCTGTCTGATCACCCTGCCTCTGTGGATTTACTCTTTACTGTTCAGCTGGAACCTCGGCCTGGTGGCCTGTAAGCTCCTGGCTTATTTTGTGTTGTGCAGCATTTATTGTAGCATGCAGACTGTGACTGTGCTGAGCATTCAGCGCTACCTCCAGGTGGTGCGCCTACAGACGTTCTTAGATCAGCGAGGAAGGAGGAGGCTGCTGGTTCTGCTCTGGCTGGTTGCGATGATCCTGTCCATCTCTCGTTTAGTGGTTCGGCAGCTGACCACAGATCAGCACTGGACACACTGCAATTATGGCTTCTCTTCTGAGGCCCAGCAGGTGGCCGTGCAGCTGACAGAGACCCTGATAGGATTTATTTCAATTTCTGTTGTGGCATTTTCATACATCAGCCTTTACAGAACAGTGGACCAGGCAGCTTTCTTCAACAACCCACAGACGACCCGGCTGGTCACAAGTATCATCGTGACCTTTTTTGTCCTCTGGATGCCCTATCATATCATAAATGTGCTTGGTGTGGCAGGTGTTTTACTCAAAAATGAGAGCCTGATGAAGTTTTTTGGGGACAGCAGGGACATTGCTACAGCACTGACATTTGTGAATAGCTGCCTGAATCCACTCCTTTATGCATTTGCTTCTAGAAACATGTGCACAGTGTGCCAACAAAGAGAACATTAATGCTGGTTTTGAAGCAGAAGCTCACCTTTCCTGGAAGTCTGATCATTTGATGTAGGATGACTGATGAAAAGTCAAAGAAAGACACCTGAAGAAGCTGAAGATGAGACTTTTCAGAAAACTTTGAACAGTTGTAGAAGTGAAGGTTCAGGTGAAAGAGGACAAAGTGAAGGAAACAAGATGCTGTGGGGAAAATTGATATTTTATATTACGTGTGAAAGCATGTGTGCACATATATACAGGCTATGTTGTTTTATTACCGACATAAACAAACATTATGAGTGAGGTCGAATGTGACAAATCATCATTGTGTGAAAAATGCTTTAACTTTGACATCATGTTTAATAAATACTGTTATTGAATGGAATTGACTGTATTTGAATATGTGGAGTCTTTATTGTTAGGTGTAAAAAAAAGTAGTGCTCTGGTTTTAAAGATTGTTTGATATGCATCAACGTTTCAGATGTGTCCCTTTGTATTTCCTGTTGGGGGCAATTTGCAGTGTATGTGAATGACATCAGCTAACAGGAAGTTAACATGGACGCAGGCTGTTCCCGAGCAAGTCAGTTCCAGTGAAATGGTCCCCAGCATTATATTTTGTTGTTGCTGCTGCGCAAAGAGTTTGTTATTCTACCTGCAAAGCTTCACACAGTTTGATGCATATATGCTGTTTGTAATATGGTGTGATCACAGTGTGTGTGTGGTTGAGTGAGAGAGAAACAGTGATGGTAGATGTATAAATAGATTAGCAGGAAAGTTGTCATGTGGGACACAGTGTAGGTTTCAGCTTGTCTATGAAAAAATGTTGCAGCTCACCACAGTGAGCATCAACTTCGGCCCTGGAGACAAAACAAAGTTCTGATGAAAGTTATCTTGCTCTGTTTTTGTAAGAACAACACATGATGCTGTGTCAATGCTCATAACTGTCATGGGATGTAAACTAGGTCTGGTATGACCTCTCATTTAATCAGTAGTGGTAATAGCAGTTGTATCAACATTTGCTTTTTTATTGGTAAGAATTTCAAGCCAACATTTCCATGATGCAGCAAATATAAGCCCCGTTTTTTCCACCCAACACTTTCGTATGGTACCTTTGGAACCAACAGTAACCCTTCAGACATGGTACCTAGACCCTAGTGTTTCCACTGCAAACAGTCCTCTTAAATGAGGGCAGGGTTGTTGTCATTCACTGCTCCGTCCAGCACTCACTGTATTTCCTCATCACCGGTGACACAGATGGAAGTCTGCACCTCATTTATCGTCGACAGAACGAGGCTGCACGCCAACATTTTCAGAACAAAACAATATTGAACGAACCCCAGGGCTACATTCTCCAAGAACGCAGTATTGATAAGCTCTGACCTTAACGGTTCTGCTATCGGTACTGGAGCAGTTGCGTTTTTTTTTTTTGTTTTTTTTTTTGCGAGATAAACCTTATCTTGCACATTTATCTCACCAACTCCGTCAATTATCCGTCATTGTATCATAATTTTCGCTATTCTCCCTGAAGACGAGAGCTCTGTCTCGCTCACCCTGGCTGCCTGCTGTGTGTGAGTGGAGAGCAGGGGGGCGGGGCTGTTGTTACAGTGACACACACACACACACACACACACACACACACACAAGACAGCGCATACACCAACTCAAGCTCGTAGCCTACCTTTAGATAGATAACGATGGCGGAGAGAGCCAAAAGGTCAAAAGTGTACGTATTCCTGTCAAATATGGCGGCCATAGTGCTCCGCGGCGCAAGATAACGGCTTACCGGCGATGGAGAAGCCTGGCTCCAGGTCCAATAATTTCCTCTTTGTTGGTGTCATGACTGTCCAGCAGTACCTGAACAGCCGAGTCATGGCAGCACACAGGTATATGACGTGTCAGAGGGGAAACGAGCTGTTCATATTTCTCTCTCGCCGGTAACGGTCCACAAACCTCACCGCACTTTAAGGACTGTTCTTTACTTATGGAGGGACTTGTCAGGGGAGGAGGGTGTCTAATTGATTTCTATTTTATTTATTTATTTATTTCATTTTGATCCCCCCTATGTTAATCACTTACAGATGCTGTTTTTGAAGTATGAATAGGTCAGTAAGTAATTTATTCCGTTGAAATATCATTGATGTATTATAGAAAAGTGATTTATCTTTTTATAAATGACAAAAGGCACATCTGCCTCATTTTTGCTGTGGTATCCTGATACTACTCAGAACCGTGATACTTACACTGGTATCGTACAGTGGGTCCCAATTTTGGTACCCTGACAACACTATTATTTTATGTATTTTACATTTCAAGTTGTAAAAAGTAAAATGTTTTGTTAAAAAACTATTTTGTTGCATAATGAGAATTGAGAAAATAAAGCAATTTATGTTCTTAATTTGTTTTTTTTCTTCCTCAAAAAGTATCGATAAGACCACCGTTAAAATACCGGATCAATAAGCAGTATCGATAAGAGTAGTAGTACCGTTAAAATCTTAACGATACCCATCTCTATTCTGTTGAAAGCTGTTCCCTGTGCAGGAAACAGAATGTGGAAACATGCGTAAGATTCTAAAGCCATGCAAACTATTCATGGAACATAATTTGCATATTTGAAATACTGTTTCTTTTTTATTTCCTCCTCTTTGAATGCATCGTGGGAAATCACCTTGCTCCTCTGACTGACTGACACAGTTGTCATCCTCACTGGCTCAGTGCACAACGTTCAGCTTCTCTGTCAGCAAGTTTGCAGCATGATACAACTCAACTCCTCTGTGGTCACTTCTAACATCTCCTCCTCTCCTGGACATCCACCTCCTGCCTCCTGGGACTCCAGAGGTCTGGTCCCTGTGGTGGTGCTGTCTGTCTGCTTCCTGCTGGGAGTTCCTGGAAACATCGCTGTGATCATCCTCAGACCAAACTGGGAGAACATGTCCAGTCTGAGCCAGATTCTGATGCTGAATTTGGCCATATCAGACCTGCTCTGTCTGATCACCCTGCCTCTGTGGATTTACACTTTACTGTTCAGCTGGAAACTTGGCCTGGTGGCCTGTAAGCTCCTGATGTATCTCATGTACTGCAGCATTTATAGTAGCACGCTGACTGTGATGGTCCTGAGTGTCCAGCGCTACCTCCAGGTGGTGCGCCTACAGACGTTCTTAGATCAGCGAGGAAGGAGGAGGCTGGTGGTTCTGCTCTGGCTGGTTGCAATGATCCTGTCCATTTCTCGTTTAGTGGTTCTGCAGCTGACCACAGATAAGCACTGGACAAACTGTCAATCTAGCTTCTCTTCTGAGGCCCAGCAGGTGGCCGTGCAGCTGACAGAGACCCTGATAGGATTTATTTCAATTTCTGTTGTGGCATTTTCATACATCAGCCTTTACAGAACAGTGGACCAGGCAGCTTTCTTCAACAACCCACAGACGACCCGGCTGGTCACAAGTATCATCGTGACCTTTTTTGTCCTCTGGATGCCATATTTTATCATAAATGTGCTCGGTGTGGCAGGTGTTTTACTCAAAAATGAGAGACTGATGAAGTTTTTTGTGGATAGCAGGGACATTGCTGCAGCACTGACATTTGTGAATAGCTGCCTGAATCCACTCCTTTATGCGTTTGCTTCTAGAAACATGTGCACAGTGTGCCAACAAAGAGAACATTAATGCTGGTTTTAAAGCAGAAGCTCACCTTTCCTGGAAGTCTGATCATTTGATGTAGGATGACTGATGAAAAGCCAAAGAAAGACACCTGAAGGAGCTGAGGATGAGACTTTTCAGGAAACTTTGAACAGTTAACTGGAGCACTACATTGGAGGTGATTCACTGGACTGGAAAAAGATTTGGTCCTCGATTGTCTATGCCTCTAAAAACCCAGATCATCAACAGATCCATTTCAATTATGTCCACAGGACTTACATCACTCCAAGAAGAAACTTTCTCATGAAATGTTTAACATCTCTAAACTGCACCCTGTGCTCAGATGGACTTATAGGCTCATATATGCATATGTACTGGGAATGCAAAGACGTGAGGCTTTTTTGGAGTGAGGTCTGTACTACTCTATCTAATGTACTGGATGTCACTGTACCATGTTCTCCCACTGTGCTACTCTTGAATGATACCACCTCACTAAAGTTGACATGTTGGCAAAGACGTATCCACCTAACGGGCATCACTGCTGCCAAAAAGATGTTGGCTTTACGCTGGAAACCTCCACATACAGTTACTAAGCCCCAATGGATTAATACATACATTGACATAATGTATGGT